GGCACGCGTCCGGGCGATGCCAAGCGCTTCGGCGAACGTGATCGAGAGGCGGCTTCCTTTCAGCGCCGGCCCGAGGCCCCCGAAGCTCCCCCGCCCTCCTGCCGAGCACCCCCCTTCTCACGGCGGCGCCCCCCCCCCCCCCCTGCTCGCCATCGCTCGGGCGTCCATTTCCCGTGCAGGGTTCGGTTTCGTGCGTGTTTTTGTTGGCTCGATGGTCCAGGATCGTCCTCAATGGTCCAGGATGGTCCAGGATCGTCCTCAATGGTCCTCGATGGTCCAGGATCGTCCTCAATGGTCCAGGATCGTCCTCAATGGTCCAGGATGGTCCAGGATCGTCCTCAGTGGTCGATGCGTTTTTTTGGCTCGATGGTCCAGGATCGCCCTCAGTGGTCCTCGCCGAGAAAAAATGCACGCGCCCGAGCGATGCCAGGCCTGCTCGCGGGCCGCCCTCCGCTCGCGCGCCCTCGGCGGGGTGCCGCGGCCGAGGGGGGGCAGGCCGCGGGAGAGAGGAGCGCGCGGGGGCAGCACGGCAAGAAAGCGGGGCCCGTCCTGCCGACGCCTGCCGCGGGGGCATCGACCTCGAGGGCGCGAGCGGGGAGGAGGGAGGAGGGGAAGAGGAGGGACGAGCAGGAGGAGGAGGAGGAGGAGGAGGAGGAGGAGCACTGCTTGGAACAAATGCAGAAGGGTTCGAAATTGGTCGCGCGCACGGGAGGTGCCCACAGTAGCAATGGGAGGAACAACGAGGAGTTCTTCATTCCGATCTAGTGTTTCGTCCCCCTCATTCTTTCTTCCCTGCAATCCTCCTGATTTCTGTTCGCTCTCGCCCTGCACTCCTGAATCATGTCTTCTGATTCCACACATCCCTCCTCCTCTGCCTCATCCTCCCCATTTGCTGCTCATACTGATCCTTGTCCGCATCATGCTCTCACTCACTCGTTCATGTTCATGGCCTCTGCCTCATCCTCCTCATCCTCTTTCTTTCCATCTTGCCTCTTCTCTCGCCATCACACTCCACGCTCCACTTCGGCCTTCCCATCCAATTATCGCTCATCGATCTTCTCATTCCTCCACCTCCTCTTCCTGCTTCTCGTCCCGACTTCCTCCTCACACGTATCTTTGTTCGCCTCGTATTCTCGCAAACCTATCTTTGCTGCAAAGACCTCCAAGGACGCCCTGCCCGAATCATTTGCCCCCTCGTTCCTCCTCGCCCCTCAATGCTCAGCCCTCCTCCCCAAGCTTCTGAATTCCCTTGGCCTCTGGACTCCTTTGCCCCGTGGGTGTCTGTGTATGTCTTCCTCCGCGTCCTCATCATACCTCCTCCTCCTACTCGCTCCTCCAACAGATGCTTGTCCCCTCATCCACTCCCTCCTCGCCATCACTCGTCCTCCCCGTCCTCGTCCTCACTCGTCCTCACTCGTCCTCCCTCGACCTCAATCGTCCTCACTCGTCATCACTCGTCCGCACTCGTCCTCACTCGTCATCCTGCCCCGCTCCCCCTCCTCGCCCTCACTCGTCCTCCCTCGTCCTATCTTCCACCCTCCGCGGGAGGGCTCGAGAGGGGTCCCGGGGAGCGCGGCAGCAAGCAGACGCAGGCGGTTCTCCCCGCAGCGCGCGCGGCTTGACGCGGCCTTCCTTGAGGGACACCCGGCACTGGTGGAACGGGTGGAGTGGGCAGGGCGCGATCCCCGATAAATCAGAGGATGCTGGCGTAGTGCGCGGTCTGACGCGACATCCCCTGGGGGGCCCCTGAGTATGGCGGAGCACAGCGCGTGTAAAATTCGAAGATTCATTTCAAAGAACGGCATAAGAGGATGGTTCGACGGTCGGCGCGAATCTCTTGGATCTGCGCCGTGCCTCCTCCCTGGCGCGCGGAGAGCGCCAGGGTGGGGGGCGCCGGCGGCTCGGCCAGTGGGGCCGTCGACAAGGGTTGCCTCTGCTATTGTTCATCCCCTGGGTGATGGCATGGCCCGCGCGGTGCTGGCGGCACTGCTGGAAGCGCAGCACCTCCTCGCCCGCCGACCACTTCGCCCCTGGATCGCTGCCGCCTGCCCGCGGCGCCTCGTGCCCTGCGCCGGCCTGTCGAGGTCTCGCCGCGGTGGGCGCCCCGTGGGCGGGCGCACGCCGTGCACCACGCGGCGTGCGCCGCGCAGCTCTTGCCGCGCAGCCTCCACCACGCAGCTTACACCACACAGCGAGAACCGCATCGCTCGCACCACACCACTTGCACCGCACAGCCTGCGCCTCACAATCTGCTGGCTCAGACATCATGCAACTCACACGTCCGTGCTTCGACAGCCTGCTGTGCGGGGTGCACGCTGGCAAGCATCTTGTGTGCAGCGGCACCGATGCCCGATGCTCCCTGCTTCCCCCCAGGCTGGATCGAGATCTCCTGCCAAGCCCGAAAGATGAACCGCTGAAACATCTGAGGAACATTTGCCCCTTACCAACCGGAGGTGCTCATTCATTGGGCGCCCTGGCTGTGGCTCTGGCTGTAGAGCTGGGACCCCAGCGCTGTGCTCAACGTTTTCCTGCGCTAGCTCCTCCTCCCCATCACCACCACCACCATCATTCTGCCTTCGTGCGCGGCACTGCCCACGACTGGGCTCGCTCCGGCTGCGGAGAGAGCGGCCGCGCCCCACCACACACGGCGACTCCACCGAGCGCACCCCCCACCCTCTTGCCTCCCGCTGGCCCTCCAAACCCCACGCGCTCCGATCAAGCACGTGCCTCGGAGGCTGCGGATCGGCATACGCAAAACGAGGCGACCGCCCCGAGCAGCCCCGCTCACTGCAGCATGCCCGCCCGGATGCCACCATCTTGCGAGATGCCCGCACCAACGAACTGGCCCGCCGATCGAGCCGTGCTGAGTCGCCCGCACTTCTCGCATTCTCCTGAACTGGTCCGTGCGGTCGCGGCGGACGCCTCGGAAGCGGGTCGCGCTCTGGCGGGTGCCCTCCAAGGCCATGTCGCTGGCTCCGCTCTCTGCGTCTGCCGCCGCGGCCGCTGCCGCTGCCGCTGCCCCTCTTCGAGCTCATTCTCGGGCTCCCTGCCGCTGCTGCTCCGCACACACGCGCGCAACTCACACGCGCACGCACAAGCACACGCACGGGCGCGCGCACCGCCTTGCGTAAGCACATGCGCTTTCCATACGCAGGCGCACTTGCTCGCTCTTCGCTGGTCGCTCGCGCAAGACGTCTCGGGGTCCAATCCTGAGAACGAAACGCGACAGCGTGCGCAAGATGCGCCCGCGTACCAGGAAAACTAAAATCAAGCTTGGCAGGACGGAAAAAGACCGCGCAACGTACAGATATCCAGAGGACATATCTCGAAATGTACCAGCACTTCAGCTCCGTCCACGCCAAGTCGAAATGGGGCGGCCGAGCGGTCATTCACTGACCCTGGGTGCGTGGCTGAAGTGGGATTCCGCGATGCGGATTCTGGTTGTTGTTTGATTGATTGATTGATTGATCGCTTGACTGTTTGTTTGCTTGATTGTTGTTGTTGCTGTTGTTGGTGTTGTTGTTGTTGTTGTTCGTTGCAACCCTTATACCAGCCCCCATTTGTTGTTGAGATCTTGTTCCTCTTGGAGAGTGAGATTGGTAAGTGTAAGGGTAGACAAGGAATGGGCGGCCGAGTCCTCGCCCCCCGGGGCTGGCAGGGGCGCGTGCACTGGGGCGGGACTCCGATCAGGCACCCCGGGGGCAGGGTGGGGTGTCGGCGCAAAGGGGCGGGTGTCGGCGCAAAGGGGCGCGCCGACGACCGACATTCCCAGAGGATCCCCAAGGGGTTCTCGCAGATTCCGGTCAGCCCCCCTCGGGGCGGGTGAGACGCGGGCGGACGGGGGTGCGCAAGCGCCCAGCAGATCGTTCGGACCCGTGGGGGGTCCTTCGGGAGGCATCCGCTCCGGGGTCCGCACGGGTCCTGTGGGATCCGCAGGACTACTCAAGACTGGCCAGGGCTCTGCAGGTGTCCTCACAAACCCTGAAGTGTCCTCAGGAGTCTGCATGCGTCCGCAGGTTTCTTCAGGAGCCTTCAGGAGCCCGCAGGTTTCCCCTGGAGACTTCAGGAGACTTCAGGCGCCCGCAGGTTTCTTCAGGATCCCCCAGGGGCCCTCAGGAGACTTCAGGAGTCCGCAGGTGTCTTGAGGAAACCTCACTTGTAGTAGTGGTAGTAGTAGTAGTAGTAGTAGTAGTAGTAGTAGTAGTAGTAGTAGTAGTAGTAGTAGTCGTAGTAGTAGTAGTAGTAGTAGTAGTAGCAGTAGTAGTAGTAGTGGTGGTGGTGGTAGTAGTAGTAGTAGTAGCAGTAGTAGTAGTAGTAGTAGTAGTAGTAGTAGTAGTAGTAGTAGTAGTAGTAACAGTAGTAACAGTAGTAACGTAGTAGTAGTAGTAGTAGTAGTAGTAGTAGTAGTAGTAGTAGTAGTAGTAGTAGTAGTAGTAGTAGTAGTAGTAGTAGTAGTAGTAGTAGTAGTAGTAGTAGCAGTAGTAGTAGTAGTAGTAGTAGTAGTAGTAGTAGTAGTAGTAATAGTAGTAGTAGTAGTAGTAGTAGTAGTAGTAGTAGTAGTAGTAGTAGTAGTAGTAGTAGTAGTAGTAGTAGTAGTAGTAGTAGTAGTAGTAGTAGTAGTAGTAGTAGTAGTAGTAGTAGTAGTAGTAGTAGTAGTAGTAGTAGTAGTAGTAGTAGTAGTAGTAGTAGTAGTAGTAGTAGTAGTAGTATAGTAGTTTAGTAGTAGTAGTAGTAGTAGTAGTAGTAGTAGTAGTAGTAGTAGTAGTAGTAGTAGTAGTAGTAGTAGTAGTAGTAGTAGTAGTAGTAGTAGTAGTAGTAGTAGTAGTAGTAGTAGTAGTAGTAGTAGTAGTAGTAGTAGTAGTAGTAGTAGTAATAGTACTAGTACTAGTAGTAGTAGTAGCAGCAGCAGCAGCAGTAGTAGTACTAGTAATAGTAGTAGTAGTAGTAGTAGTAGTAGTAGTAGTAGTAGTAGTAGTAGTCGAAACCAATTGCCAGCCAAACCAGCCAACCCAACCAACCAGCCACCCAAACAACTCAACCGGCTCAACCAGCCCAACCAGCCACCCCGCAACCCCAGCCAACCCGCCACCCCGCCAACCCGCCTCCCCCCACCGCCTGCCCTCCGTCACCGTCGAGAGGGGGGGGGAAGTGTTTCTTACAAGCGAAAACCATAAAAATCACCTTCCCGGGGTCCGGCGGGTCAGCGGGGGGAAGGGAAATCGCACCGTACTATGCGGGAGGGGGATTCGCGCCCGAGGTGCCCAAAGACGATTTGGGGCCTCAAGTGCGACACTGTCGTCATTTTATTACCTTCACCGCGCTCCCCTTCTCAACAGAAAGGCTCCCATCCGTGAAACTGTCGTCATTCTTCAGCTCCCGCGAGAGGCTTCTTAGAGGCCCCCAGAGGCTCCAGAAGGCCCATGGCGCCCTCGGGAGTGCCTGGGAGATCTCCGGAGGGCCCCAGGAGGACCCACTCTGCACCGCGCCAACATTCTCAACGGAAAGACCCCCATGCGTGAAATTGTTTTCATCATTCCGCCCCCGCGAGAGGGTTCTGAGAGGGCCCACGGAGGCTCCAGGAGGGCCCATGGCGGCCCCGGGAGGGCCCACGAAATCTCAAGAGCCCCCCGGAGGACCCATTAATCCTTCCTCCCCCGCTTCCTCCTCCTTCTCCTTTTTCTCCTCCTCCTCCGCCTCCTCCTCTTCCTCCTCCTCCGCCGCTTCCTCCTCCTCCTCCTCCTACCTCATCCGTAGCTTCGATGGCTCCGATAGCGCCGTGCGCGAGATCCGCCTCCTCCCCATCCGTCCTCCTCCCTCCTCCCTCCTCCTTCCCTCCTCCCTCCTCCCTCCTCCCCTTTCTCGGGAGCGTCACAAAGAGGCCCCCCGAGGAGAATTTCACGACAACAAGGGCGCCGACACGATGAACAGACACCACGTCGGGGCTCTGGGAAAGGAGTCGAAAACGAAACCTCTAATAACGTAATCCTCGATGTTCGGGGCAATTTTCTGACCACCTGCGAGCCTGGCGCAAGCACACGAGTGGAGGAGGAGACACCACGACGCTCCACGGAGTGAACTGCACCCAGTTGGTTTCTACCCCCGTGAGGGGCGTTACAGGGTAGTAGTAGTAGTAGTAGTAGTAGTAGTAGTAGTAGTAGTAGTAGTAGTAGTAGTAGTAGTAGTAGTAGTAGCAGTAAGTAGTAGTAGTAGTAGTAGTAGTAGTAGTAGTAGTAGTAGTAGTAGTAGTAGTAGTAGTAGTAGTAGTGTAGTAGTAGTAGTAGTAGTAGTAGTAGTAGTAGTAGTAGTAGTAGTAGTAGTAGTAGTAGTAGTAGTAGTAGTAGTCGTAGTAGTAGTAGTAGTATAGTAGTAGTAGTAGTAGTAGTAGTAGTAGTAGTAGTAGTAGTAGTAGTAGTAGTAGTAGTAGTAGTAGTAGTAGTAGTAGTAGTAGTAGTAGTAGTAGTAGTAGTAGTAGTAGTAGTATTAGTAGTAGTAGTAGTATAGTAGTAGCAGTAGTAGTAGTAGTAGTAGTAGTAGTAGTAGTAAGAATAATCGTTGTAGTAGCAGTAGTAGTCGTAGTAGTAGAGTAGTAGTAGAAGTAGTAGTAGTAGTAGTAGTAGTAATAGTGTCGTAGTATAGTAGTAGTAGTAGTAGTAGTATAGTAGTAGTAGTAGTAGTAGTAGTAGTAGTAGTAGTAGTAGTAGTATAGTAGTTAGTAGTAGTAGTAGTAGTAGTAGTAGTAGTAGTAGTAGTAGTAGTAGTAGTAGTAGTAGTAGTAGTAGTAGTAGTAGTAGTAGTAGTAGTAGTAGTAAGAGTAGTAGTAGCACTAGAAGCAATAGTAAGAGTAATAGTACCAGTAGTAGCAGTAGTAAGAACAGTCGTCGTACTCATAGTTGGTGTGATTATCGCCGTCGCCGTCGTGATAGGAGCCGACGTAGTTTGTAGTAGTAGTAGTAGTAGTAGTAGCCGTCGTAGTGGCATCGTAGTAGTAGTAGTAGTAGTAGTAGTAATACTAGTAGTAATAGTGGTAGTAGTAGCGGTAGTAGCAGTATTATTAGTGACAGTAGTACGAGTAGTAGTACCAGCGTCGCAGTAGTCGTAGTAGTGGGTAGTAGTAGTAGTAGTAGTAGTAGTAGTAGTCGTAATAGAAGTAGTCGTCGAAGCGTTACTAAGAAAACTCATCGTATCCGTAATCGTAAAGGTAGCTGTATGAGTAATCGTAAGAGTACGCCGACTTGTACCAACCACACAACTAATCATAGTGGTAGTACTCGTCGTCGTAGTAGTAATACTAGAAATCGTAGTAATTCTCGTACAGTGGTACTAGTAGTAGTAGTAGTAGTAGTAGTAGTAGTAGTCGTAGTAGTAGTAGCAGTCGTAGTACTAGTAGTAGTAGTAGTAGTAGTAGTAGTAGTAGTAGTAGTAGTAGCCGTAGTACTAGCAGTAGTAGTAGTAGTAGTAGTAGTATTTTTAGTAGTAGTAGTAGTAGTAGTAGTAGTAGTAGTGGTAGTCGTAGTTGTAATGGTAATCATAATAATAATCGTATCGGTCGTTGTGGAAGTAGTCGTAGTCGTAGACGTAGCCGTAGTAGTAGTAGTAGTAGTAGTAGTAGTAGTAGTAGTAGTAGCAGTAGTAGTAGTAGTAGTAGTCGTAGTGCTAGTAGTAGTAGTAGTAATAGTAGTAGTAATAATAGTAATAGTAATCGTAATACAAGTAGACGTAGTCGTCGTCGTCGTAATTGTAGCACTCGTAGAAAAAAGTAATAATAGTAGTCGTAGCAGTAGTCGCAGTAGTACAAACGGTAGCCCTCGTCGTAGTCGTAGGAAGATTAGTAGTAGCAGCAGCAGACGTAGTAGTAGCCACCGTAGTAGTCGCATGAACGGACTTTCGAAATTCGGGCTTCGAGCTTTTCCAATGCGATTGAACATCCGGAAAACTCGATCACGCTGTCGCGTGAGGAAGCTCATCCACGAAATCCCCCTTCGAAAGATTTGAAAATAGTAACGATAGGAGAACAAATCGAATTAACAGTAGTGATAATAGTAGTAGGACGAATGGAAGTAATGATACTAATCGTACTCATCATAATCATAGTCGTAGTAGTGATAATAAAAATAGTACTAGTCGTAGTAGTAGTAGTAGTAGTAGTAGCAGCAGTAGTCGTAGCAGTAGTAGCAGTAGTAGTAGTCGCAGTATTGGTAGTAGTAAGAGAAGTAGTTGTAGTAGTAATCCTAGTCGTAGTCGTAGTTGGTGAGAGTAGTACAATATAGTATAGTCAAAGTAATAGTATTAGTAGCTACGGTAGTTGTATTGACAGCGGTAGTCGTAATAACAGGTGTCGCCGCAGTAGTAGTAGTAGTAGTAGTAGTAGTAGTAGTAGTAGTAGTAGTAGTAGTAGTAGTAGTAGTAGTACTGCTAGACGTAGTAGCAGTAGTCATAGTCGAGATAGTAGTCGTAGTCATTGTTGTAGTATTACTAGTGGCCGTAGTAGTAGCAAAGCAGTAGAAGTAGGAAGTAATATTAATAGTAGTAGTCGTAGTAGTAGTAGTAGTAGTAGTAGTAGTAGTAGTAGTAGTAGTAGTAGTAGTAGTAGTAGTAGTAGTAGTAATAGTAGTAATAGTAGTCGTAGCAACAGTAATCGTCGCTGTAGTTGCAGTAAGAATGGTGGTAGTAAGGATAGTGCTGGCGCCCGCGGATTCACAGAACCGAGCGTTCTCGGCCACGCCGCCCAAGGCGTGTGTGGGTCTGCTCCCCGCCCCTCCCGCGCGGGGGTGCCTCCGAGGTGCGGGGACCTGCCTGCAGGGAGGGCCCGGGGACACGCCAAAGGAAGAGGCACAACATCTCCCAGGGTTCCCCTGGAGTCTCGTCGTCCCTCCACATTTTTCTGGGGAGTCGGCGAGTCTCTGTGTCTGTGTGTTTTTATCCCCCCTGAATGATGCGGAAAGTGCGGCAGGGCCGCCGCCGACGTGCCGCCGCCGTCGCCGTCGCCGCAGCCGCCGCTTTTGATGGGTACCTCCTCCTCGGAACACTGGGCGTGCAGATCCAGATCCGGCTGCGCAAAAGTAAGTTTATGGGCCGATTCTCCACCACCACTACCATTGGTAGGCGAGGCAGGAAGAGGAGACGTAGGAGGAGGCGGAGGAGGAGGAGGAGGATCTGATCTCCCCATCCTCTCGTCTCACGCGTCCTACCCATAGTGGCGGTGGTGGAAAAAAATTGCCCCCATCGAGAGTGACCCTGGGCAAGCGGCAAGAGCGGCCTCTGGTGCGCAACTCTGCGGGGCCGTGGGGGCCAAATCCAAGCGCGCCCGCCAGGGCCGCTGAGGTCCGGTGCCGCAGAATAGCTGCAGCATCGCGAAACAGATCGGCCCGAGCCCTGGGCCCTGTTTTTCTGCGCGGCTTTTCGAGCCCGATCGAGCTATGAGGGCCCCGGGCCCGAAAAACCGGGCGAACGCGCCCAGCCCGAGCAAATCGAGACGCCAGGGTCGCAGGGGCCTGGGGGGGCCCTCTGCGGGCCCACCCTTCGGCCTGCGCGTCACCGACCGATCTGGTCCCCGCCCGCGCCGCCCGCGCGGCAGGCAGGCGTCGGCGCTTAGGCGCGGCCGGCGCTGCAGGGGCCTGGAAGCCGCAGGTGCAGGGCCGCCGCCGCCGCCAGGCCTCGCGGAGCGCGCGCGCGCGGCCAGGCGGCGCTCGCCCGCACGGGCGGTGGCGGCGGCGGCCCGCGGCAGGCGCGCGCGCGCGCGCATCCGCACCCAGAGATCCGTCGCCCCGACGAGAATGACAGTTTTTTTTTTTCCCCCCCTCATCATTACGACCCAGCTTTCTCTTTCTGTTCCGCCGGGAAGCTCGCCGCCGACCAGTGGCTGAGCGGCTTTTTTGCTCCCGGGGGCCCTCAAGGGGCCCCGGGGCCCGCACTCCTCGGGGAGGAGGGGGCCGGCCCTGCGGGGAGGTGGTCCAGGCCTCCAGGGGCCCACGCACCGACAGGCTTCGAGAGGAGGAGGAGGAGGAGGAGGAGGAGGAGGAGGAGGAGGAGGAGGAGGAGAGGAGGAGGAGGAGGAGGAGACGGAGGAGGAGGAGGAGAGCGCCGCGTGTCTGGACCCCCGCTGCTCGGTCCTCCTGGTCCAGGTGCCCCCCCCGAGCTCATCGCGTGGGATCCCCACGAGCACTGCCTGGGCCCCACGGGCCGACTTGCCAATCCTCAGGTGGGGATGCAGGCTGTTCCCTTCGGGTTTCGAGGGGTGCACCCTCAACTGGGGGGGTGAGACCGATCCCTATCCCCACGAGCACTGTCTGGGCCCCACGCGGGCCGACTTGCCCTCCTTGGATGGGGATGCAGGCTGTTCCCTTCGGGTTCCGAGGGGTACTCCCTCAACTGGGGGGCTGGGCAGGTGGGGCTCGGAATGGGGATGGGGGCTGCTTCGACGATACTGACCGCCCCCCCTGCTGCAGCAGGCCCCGCTGCCGCTGCGGCCGCTCGGCAGCGCTCCCGCTCACGCTGCCCGCGGCCCGCACCCTCCCACGTGAGCATCTGCTCGCGGGCGCCCCCGGCCTGGCACCGGCCCTCCTCGGTCTCGTACTTCCCAAGTCCCCAGCAAAGATTTTCTGGCAGAGGGCGCCGACGATACCCAGATCACAGAGAATGTGATCTTGCTCTACTGCGTTTCGCCAGAGGGCTGTAACGAGGGCTACCAGAGGAGTCCCACAGGGGGGATGGGGCTCGGGATGGGGATGGGGGCCGGATGAAGTTGCGCAGGGACCGCCCGTCCCAGCATTCCTATAGGCCTACCACGACATGTTCTTAGAACCCAACAATGCTCCACAAGCCAGAGCCATGTTCTTAGAACAGAAGCTCGATGCTTCCGATGCTTTCGAACAAGACAGCCTCAGCAAGAAATATTACAAGAACACTGTGTGCAAGCCGCTGAAGAAATTCATTATGCTCCTTGGTAGGCCAAGCCGCTTCGCTAGAACGCTTCGCTGCTGCCTGATGAACGAGACCCTCCGTCGCCCTAAACAGATAGAACATCTGAGGGTACCCTCCGCAGGATGCACAATAGCGTCCCACCAACACGAAAGCACCAGGGCACCCTCCCCGAACCGAGCTCGATATTGTGCCTCGGTCCAGCCGATCGAGTAATGAGGAGATCACTAACGGAATCGGTTTACCCTAAACTTGATTCCCCGTCGAATCCATGGAACGTACATGCGATACCCCGTGGGTCTACTGGCTATTCTGCGCAGTCTTGGGGTGAATCAATTCTGTAGCCGATACCCCCTACTTGATCCGTGCTGACCTCGGTCGTCGGGGGCGCCCCCGAGGGCCCGGAACGGCGCGGGCGCGGAGCGCGCGAGGCGGGGAGGCGGCCTCCCGCGGGGGCGCCCGTGCCGGCGGCCCGCCCCGTGGGCGCGGGCTCCTCGTCCGGCTCCTTGCGGCCGTCGCTGAAGAGGCACCTATCGCCAGCCGGCAGCGACCCTCGGCTTCTTCCTCCCTCCTCCCTCCTCCCTCCTCCCTCCTCCCTCCTCCCTCCTCCCTCCTCCCTCCTCCCTCCTCCTCCTCCTCCTCCTCTCCTCCTCCTCCTCCTCCCTCCTCCTCCTCCTCCCTCCTCCTCCTCCTCCTCTCCTCCTCCTCCTCCTCCTCCTCCTCCTCCTCCTCCTCCTCCTCCTCCTCCTTCCTCCTCCTCCTCCTCCTCCTCCTCCTCCTCCTCCTCCTCCTCCTCCTCGACTCCTCCTCGATCCTCCTCCTTCCTCCTCCTCCTCCTCCTCCTCCTCCTCCTCCTCCTCCTCCTCCTCCTCCTCCTCCTCCCTCCTCCTCCTCCTCCCTCCTCTCCTCCTCCTCTTCCTCCTCCTCCTCCTTCCTCCTCCTCCTCCTCCTCCTCCTCCTCCTCCTCCTCCTCCTCCTCCTCCTCCTTCCTCCTCCTCCTCCTCTTCCTCCTCCTCCTCCTCCTCCTCCTCCTCCTCCTCCTCCTCCTCCTCTCCTCCTCCTCCTCCTCCTCCTCCTCCTGCCTCCTCCCTCCCTCCCTCCCCTCCCTCCCTCCTCCCTCCCTCCCTCCCTCCCTCCCTCCCTCCCTCCCTCCGACGAGGCGCCCACGGGTGGCAGCGTGGCAATACCTCGACAGACCAATAATATCACTTGAAAGCCGAGCAAGCACCCCTGAGCGCAAGCACTGCTTGGGAAACGTGCCCGCACACCTCCAGCAGCGCGTCCGCCACGGTGCCCCGACGCACCGATGGCGCCTCACGTCGTGCTCTCGCGCTGCGCGAAGCGCGCATAACTTCGTGCCCTCGCGCCGCCATCCAGCCGCCACCCAGGGGAGAGGAGGAGGAGTCGGAGTCGGAGCCGAAGCGCGGAGCGCGAAACACCTCGCAGTCTTGAGGGCGCCCTTGACGCACTGGGTGGTGTGCTCCCAAGTCCCTTCGAATTCTGTGTGCTTGACGCTATCAGCTTCCTGGTTCAAGTCGGGCGGGTGGTAACGGGGGCTGGCCTAAATGGGGGGTGGAGACAAGGCCCCTAAATGGAACACTCTGGGGCCCCTTTTGGAGCCGGCAGGGGCCCAACAGGGGCCCAGAAGTGCCCCTCTATATAGGGCCCCTTTCTCCACCCCCCATTTTGAGCCACCCCCCATCACCAACGCGCCCGACTGCCGCTTCAAGCTTCCTGGCTCTGGCAGGGGCCCCAGGCCGCGGAGTTGGCCGGGCGGGCCCCGGGCGCTCTGGGGCCGCGCCGCCCAGCACCTCCAGAGGCCTCGGACAGCGAGGCTTGGGATCGACGCCTCCAAAGCCGGGGACCCTCTGGCCCGGGTCGATCCAGATCCAGACCCCGGTCAGTCAGGATCCTGCACCCCAGCCCGTGTCAGTGCATCCCTGGCTCTGCAAGATCCGGCAGGATCTGGCGCTCTGACTGACCCCCCGTGTGCACTGACACCCGTCTCATGAGCCCCGCAAGGTTGTCTCGGGTGGTCTCCGGGGCTCGTCTTGGAGCCCTCTCGGGCCGCTTTGGTGCGCCAGTCCGCCAAGAAGATCCCAAGAGGCCCTCCACGAAGCCCCCAAAAAGGCCTTCAAGTGGTTTTCCCAAAGCCCCGAGATGCCTCTAAAAATCCGTTGCTCACGACCCCGACACTGTGGCAGAATGGGCCGAAAATCACGCAACACCTGCTGCCAATGAAGCCTGACTTTTTCCTCATCCGACTGGCCGGAGGTGGATAGATTTGTAAAAGGAACTCCCGACCCGCCTCGCACACCCTGCATGCCGCGACCGCCAGGGACCAAGGGTCCGGTTGTACCTGGGTATCCCGCCTCGCGTCTTCAACGAATGGCGACTGCACACCGCGGCCGCCAGGCCCCAAGGTGCCTGGTGCTCCCTAGGGATTTGCTTCGCTCTGGGGTGGGGATCGCTCGAAGCAGCCTAAACTCGTGTTTGTGTATGCTCACGTTTATACGCTGGCGACTTCTTCCGACGCAACTGAGCGGTATCCGAAGCGGGTGCACGCCAGTTGCCTCCAGCCCAGGTCGGCGGACACGAAGCGGTGCCGCCGAGACGCTCTGGCTGAAAACAGCTAGGGGCCAGGGATCGCGGAGGACGCAGACTGCACACCTGCACCGATCCTGGAGGAGGAGGAGGAGGAGGAGGAGGAGGAGGAGGAGGAGGAGGAGGCGAGGAGGGGGAGGAGGGGGAGGAGGAGAGGAGGAGGATGGGGAGGAGGAGGAGGAGGAGGAGGAGGAGGAGGAGGAGGAGGAGGAGGAGGAGGCAAGGGAAACCGAAAGGTGCCGATGCCGCTGCTCCTCGGACCTCTCCCGGGGTGCGCTCTGGCCAGCATTCCGAGGCGCATCCAGCGGCGGCGACGAGGGCCTCCCAGGAGGCCCCCCAGAGGGGGAAAACGAGGGGAGGGCAGAGAGGGGCATGGGTATACCGTGTCCTCCTCCGAGGTCCTGGCCCGGCCCATCCCTGGGCCAAGGACCGGTGCGCGGGCCTTCCCCGCCGGGCCGGGCGGGGCGCACGCAGGCACACCGGCCCTGGGCCCAGGCAGGGGCCCGCAGGGCCGGGAGCGGGTGCGGGTGTACAGCGGGGGCGCGCTCCGGAGAGGAGGCCCCGGCGCAGCGGCGGAGGGCGCTGGCCCGAGGCAGGAACGCCCGAGCTCGACGCGCGGAGGGCCCGCCTCTCCAAGGCCACCTCCTCTGCGCTCAGAAGAACTCGGCGCCCTCGGCCGTCGAGCTGTCGACATCACACTGCTGACATCCCACGAAAACGGGACCGTCAACATCCAGGACGCGCTCGTCAAAAAAAAATCCGGCGAACCCGAGTTCCGGCTTGCTCGAGTCGCACGTTTCCCCGATGTCGATCGGGCATGTCCCTCCACAGGAGGATACTACTCCAGAGTAGTAGCCAACACAATCTGGTCACGATTGATTGTGCTCTGTGGACTGATTTCGCCGACGTTCTGACTGTGTCTGACCCTTCTTCCATAGCCCGCCTGTAGGAAGACGTGCCCGTTGAGCAGGGACCGACCGTCCCGGCATTCCCATAGTCATACCACGAAATGTTTTTAGAACCCGAACATGTTCTTAGAACAAAAAACAATGTTCTTAGCACATAAGCCCGATGCGTCAAAGCAAGACAGCCCCGGCCAGACATGTTCCAAGAACCTCTCGTGGGAGCCACAAAAGGTTCTCAGAACATTGCTTGGTAGTAGGGCTATCATTCGGCGGGCCAGGACGCTCCGCCACTGCTCGACTCTTCCAAGCCCAGACCCCCGACGTCATGAATTTTTCATGACGTCGACCCCCAGAGGTCCGGACCCATTCCCCGGGACCGGTTTTTCGTCCTGAGTCGTTTTTTGACGGTCCCGAGGGCCGGTAAGGGCCCCGAGAGGCCGAAAATCATGAAAAACCTCGCGTCGTGATTTTTTCATAACTCGAGGGGGTCTGGGAAGCCCGCCTGTAGGAAGCCGTGCCCGACCGAAGCAGAGCTCGCCGAGAGACGGCCCGGCGGCGCCTCGCCGGCCACGGCCGAGCCCCGGGGAGCTCCCCCCGATCGGGCACTCGCGGGCCTCTCCGGGCCGCCCCCCCCCGCCTCGGGCGCCGCGGCAGGGCCGCGCAGAGAGCGGCGGGCCGCACGCCCGCCCGCCTCGGGGCAGACGCGGGGCCCCGTCAGTCCCACGTCGCCTCCGCGAGGCGGCCGGTCTGGAACTCGGCCAGGACGCCCTCGGCGTCGCCGTCGCCCGCGGGGCCCTCCTCGTGCGCCCTCTCGGCGCACACGCACATCATGCCCCTGCTGCCGAGGAGGCTGGCGGCCGCCTCGTTGTCGTTCATGGCCCCGTCGGGGGGCGCGGCGCGGCTGCGCTGCTCCTTGATCCTCTCCCAGCGGGTCTTCCAGGCCGGCTTGACGTGGGGGCCCTGCGGCCTGTCGAGCCCGTCCCTGTTGGGGGGGCAGGAAATAAGACAGACATAAACTCTGGGAGGTCCGCGCGGATGACTTGGATCCGCGCTGGGTCCGCTCCCTGGAGCGCAGAGCGCGCCAGGGGCGGCGCCGGAGGCGCCGCAAGGGGGGCCCAGGCGCCGATCCAAGAACGCCGCTTGAAGCTCCGACAATTCATGTGAATAAAAGCTTTTTCTTCGTCGACCTGTGGCGCTGGCACTCTGTCGTGACTTCCTCCAGGGACTCTGGGTGCGGGTCGAAGCCGAGCAGGCCGCCGATGTCCGAGCGTCCGAGCGCGCTCAGCTGCCTCACGGCCAGGTTCAGGTGCTCTTGCATGGGTAGGTCCTGGCGCATGACGAGCTTTGTTGACTGGTTAAACTTGCCCCTCTTCGGCTACACGTAAGGGTGACCCTGGGCAAGAGTGACCTTTGGTGCGCGACTTCGGGGGCCGCGGGGAGTCCGAATCGGAGCACACAACCCGTTGCTATCGCATCCCATTCAGCCATCTGGGGATCCCAGCGTGCCCGCACCAAAGGTCACTCCGGCGACAAGTCACTCTTGCGTGTAGCCGACCTCTGCACCCGGACCTCGACCTGCCCTGCCACGCTCGACGCGCCGTCCCTGGAGACCTCCTTCTTGCTGCGCCACTGCGTCTTGGACAGCGTCAGCCTGAAGCCCCCCTTGTCCTGGGGCTTCGCGAGCAAGTAGGGCATGTCGGTCCAGTCCTCCAGCCTCACCCACGGGACGTCGTCCGCGGCCGAGGCGCGCGCGGCGGCGCTCATCACCCGGAGGCCCAGAAACCTGCTGGCTTCGCCGCCAGCCCCCGCCAGGTATGAGCGCACCTGCACGACCCTGCCGCCCAGCGAGGTGCCCGAGAGCTCCACCTTCGTTCGGTGGCAACTCACGAGAGCCTCCCGTGCCATATTGTCGGCTCTTGCGAATCGACGCTAACCAACGCTAAATCGACACAAAATGGACGCTACATGGACGCGAATCGACGCTAACCGATGCTACATCGGCGCTATCTTATAGACTTCCAGACGCTAATCGACGCCAAAGACAAAATTGCGAGGGTACACCACGCTCCCACGATTTGCTACCGAACTCCACCTCCGTGATGTACGTGGTGCACGGCTTCCCGTGCTCAGGGCGGATGGTGGCTCTCAGCTCGATCTCCGCGGGCATGCTGGCAGCCTGGGGAACCCGCAGCAGGGTGAACTCGCCCCCGTGGTTGACGTCGAAGTGCTCCCCCTGCAGGTTGACCAAGTGCGGGTCCCCCACGGCCGACACCGTCGGGGCCGGCGTCGGGGAGGTGCACACCACGCACGTTCCGTCCGTCCCGCTGGTGGGGTCGGCGGGTGCCTGGCAGCAGTACCCGGGACCGCAGTCGTCGACGCCGCACCCGCACATCTGCAGGTTCGGGTAGCTGCCCCCGGTTGTCCTTCTCCCCCTCCTCCTCCGCACCTCCTCCCTGGTCGTCTTCCCTCCCATTCTTCCACGCCCCTCCCGTCAATGGTCTGGGTCCTGGGCCTCAAGATGGAACCAATTTCTCCTCCCGAATCGTTCTTGACAATGGTCCCGGGACCTGGTGAGGGTCCCCGGAGGTCGAAAAGGGCAAAACACATTCAGGACCCCGTTCCTCCAAAATTATTTTTTCTTCACGGCGACCAACAAACATCGCATCACCCCCCACCACACCTCTCTTGGGTTGAATTTTGACCAGAACCTCGACCATAATCCAGCCGTGGCGACAAGCCCTTGGCGGCCCAAAACGGTCAACAAAAACGTGCAGGAACCTCAACCCTTTGATGCTCGTTTGGGGAACGTCCTGGAGCCCCCCACTCCACTCATGAGTCGACGCTGCGTCGAACGGTCGTCGACTTGAGTCGAACTTGAATCGAACTAGCGTCGAACTAGAGCGAAACTAGAATCGAGCAGATCCTTCGGGTGGTCCCCAACACGAGCATCGCCCCTTCCCTTCCCGGTGAGATCGTCGGCCCTCTCCCTTCTCTTCCTGCCGCCCCCGCCGGTCCGGGTGCACGCGACGTGCACTGGGTCGTAGATGTTGAACTCGACGGGCGTCGTCTGGTCGAGCTCGTAGGTGAACGTCCTGGGGAGGGCGCCGGCTGCAGCACACGCACAAGCACCTGTCGGTGGTAAGGCTTCGGGTGGCGCACAGGCAGCCACCCCGGGTTGTCCTGGCTGGCCTCGACCGGCCTCCCCAGACTCGAAAGGAAGGCCTCACCGCCCTGGCGTGGAGAAAACGCCCTGGATTACCCATGGGGCCCGTTGAGGCCCGCTGGTCCCATGCACCTGCGGGAGCTGTCTCTGGGCAACCCGAAGACTTCACACTTGTCTGAGTGATTTAAGCTTCATGGCATCGTAGTCCTGGCGAGACCGATTCCTCAGGCAGTGGTGCCGAGACATCTCTTACTCGACAGGACGGTTCACGAATCCGCAATGTACAATCGCATCCAGGAGCTGCAGAAGTTAGTTCGCACCAATCCTGGCCAGGAGGAGGGGGGAAAAAGAGTAGAGGATCGACGCCAACCCGACAGGCTGGGACTGCTGGGCTTTGAGCAACACTTCCCCATCCGCTTCGCACACCCTGCGCACCGCGGCCGCCAGCCCTCCAGTGTGCCGGTGCTCCCTGGGGATCCCGCCTCGCGCCTGGAACGAACAACGGTTGTGTGCCGCGGCCGCCAGGTGTACTGAGTGCCTCCTGGGGATGCCGCCTCGCGTTCTCGGGTCGGGATCGACCGAAGCGAAACGACTGGTCACCTGCAAGAGCTTCAGAACGCCTGGAGGCCTCCATGGGGACCTCCCCCTGGGGACTCCGACGACCTTCGGAAGCCTCGGGAGGAGACCTCTGGGATCCGCCGAGTGGCCCGGCCGAGCTCTGCGTCGGTGTCCGGTTGGCGTGCCCCAGGGTCCCGTCGGGGTTGGAGACCAGCCCGATGATGGTGAACCTCTCGAAATAGTCAGGGTTGCGCGTCCTGATGATGACTTCGTCGCCCACCTGAGCGACGAGTATGAACGGGTCTTCCGCGATAAGACATGGCGGCCTCAGGGCGCGACTTGCGAGGGCCGTCAGAGTGCCACACCGCGTGGAAAAAAACAGCGCCCACGCGCGACACTATGCGGGAAACTGTCGCAAACATGTCCACGCAGTCGACCCATTGTGCTGGTCGCTCACCTGGAACTCAAACCCGAACTCGTCGCTGTTCCGATTGAGGGTCATCCAAGGCGTGCCAACCTCGGTGTCTGCCCATCGCGGAGCCGGCGGTCACGGCGCTTCGGCGATCGCACGGTCGTCGTGAGAGCCGACGGCCTTGTGCTCGGTCACGGGTCTCCACGACGAGCGCGGGGCGACTGCAACCGTGATCAGATCGCGCGATCGGTTGCGGTGATCGACCCGGTCATCGCCCAAAATCGCCCAAGACACTGGCACCAAGAAGCCGCAACGCACACATTCTCGCTCACACAGACACCCTCCGCGCACCTCGGCCCTCGAACCTCGCTCCCGCGCGTCTTGGGGAAATGTCGGGCGTGTCCCCCTACAGGGGGATTTTCGACGACAAATAATAGATACCCCCAAAATACCCCAGAAAGGCCAACAAATACCCCCAAAATAGTCCCCAGACTATTTTGGGACTGTTTCTTTTTTACCATTTTGGGGTATCTTTTTTATTCCCTACCTAGGCTCTGCCTAGAAGGGTTCTTACTCTCTAGCTTAAAGGGGCCGGGCAGTGGAAAGCGCCGCGGGCGGTTCCCCCAGTCCCCGCCCCGCGGTTCCCCCAGTCGCGCCCCCTGGGTTCCCCTAGCTTAGCTTACCTTAGCTTACCTTAGCTTAGCTTAGCTTATCTCATCTTAGTTTAGCTTGGTTTAGCTTAGCTTAGCTTTGCCTAGCCTAGGCTAGCTTAGCTTAGCTTAGCTTTGCCTAGCCTAGCTTAGCTTAGCTTAGTTTAGTTTAGCTTAGCTTAGCTTAGCTGGGCTTAGCTTTGCCTAGCCTAGCTTAGCTTAACTTAGCTTAGCATAGCATAGCTTAGCCGACCTTAGCTTATCACAGCGCAGCATAGCGCAGCGCAGCATTAGTACAGCATAGCATAGCATAGCATAGCCAAACATAGCATAGCATATCATATCATAGCTCAGCAAACCATGTCATAGCATATCATATCATAGCGCAGCATAGCATATCATAGCATAACATTGCTTAACATAGCATAGCGCAGCATATCACAGCACAGCATAGCACAGCATAGCATGACATATCATAGCGCAGCATAGCGTATCATAGCATAGCATAGCATGTCATAGCATAGCATAGCGCATCATAGCATAGCATACCATAGCATAGCGCAGCATATCATAGCATAGCATAGCGCAGCATGGCATATCATGGCATATCATAGCATAGCGCAACATATCATAGCATAGCATAGCCTAGCATAACACAACGCGTCCGAGCGTACCCTAGCATAGCATAGCATAGCGTAGCATAGCATAGCATGTAGTCGTTGCTTTCCTAAATGCTCCAACTCCCAGGTAGGGTCGCACTGGGATAATTTTTAGTCGAAAACCCCCCTGTAGGGGGACAGGCCCGACTGAATCACGGCGGTGAGCTCCCCGCCGCCATGGGCTCGACGAGGTAAGCCCCCGAGATGCAGTTGTCGAAGTCCCCGGCGTCCGTCGTCCCGTTGGGGCACTCGGTGCACTCCGAGGAGCGGCGGCGCCTGCACGCAGGAGGGGGGCAGGAGGAGGGAGGGAGGGAGGGCTCGAGTCAAGCAGTGTTTTCCCCGTTTCCGTGCTGTTCTCGCCACCCCTGGTTCTGTCTTCGTTCCGCGTTTGCTGCAAGACGAAGTCAGAACGAAAGCGGTCCAGGAAGTTGCCAGAACGCCGTTTCGCTCGAGCCCTGGAGGGAGGGGGAAAGGTGCGGAGGAGGGGGGGAGGAGGGAGGACGGGGGGAAGGCACAGGAGGACCTGGGAGGGGGCAAGAGAGAGAGAGAGGAGCGCGAAGGGACCACCTCCGCGGCCGATCTTCGGAAGCTGCGCACGCCGCGGCCTCCAGAATCTGATTGCCTGGGAAGGCAAGCATCGGAACTGCGAGACACACACACAGAAGCTCCTGATGGAACCGAACCGATCGAGGAGGAGGAGGAGGAGGAGGAGGAGGAGGAGGAGGAGGAGGAGGAGGAGGAGGAGGAGGAGGAGGAGGGAGGAGGAGGAGGAAGGGGGAGGGGGGGAGCACGTAGGTGGGAAAGCCTCACCACGAGGAGGAATGTGGAGGGATACCGGCGAGGGGGGAGGAGCAGGGAGCAGGGGTGAAGGAGCAGGAACCAGGGAGAATGGGGGCGTGAGGAGAAGGAGGAGCTGGAGCTGAAGGTAAAAAGAGGGAGGCGACGAGGACAATGCGAGGTGGGAAAAGAGGAGCAAGGAAAGCAAACGGCAATCGGACGCAAAAACTCCCTGAGCTACGAGACGGGGAGGGAGAAGGACGAGTAGGAGCAGGAGAAGCATGAGGAGCAGGGGAGGAGGTTGAGGCGGGGGGGAGAAGGGGGGAAGAGGGAGGTCGAGGAGGGGGAAGAGGTTGATAAGGGAGAGAAGATCAGCAGGACGAAAAGAGCCGACACCTGGTCTCTCCCGTCACGCACGGCACGCACACGGATGTCCCGTGGGTGGCGTAGTAGCCGAAATCACAAGCCACCGGGGGCTCAACGGGGCAGCTGGGCAGGTCGAAGTCGGAGTAGGCCGCGCACTCCTCTGGGGCGGCGCACCCGCGACGGGGGGCCGGACGGCACTGCCCGTCTTCCTCCTCCTGTTCCTGCTCCTCCTCGTGTCATGACACTGTGCCCCTGGCCCCCCAGACCGATGGTGTACGGTGCAAGCGCTGCTTGGCTGTCGCCAAGGCCCCTGCCAGTTACAAAAGTGTGCGGCAGCCAGGGAAGACGTGCGAGCCCAGCGCCATGGTCGGTCAGTCAGCCCAGGCGAGCGAGAAGCCAGGCTGGCGGCAGCTCGCTCAGGGAGGTGGGGAGGCTCACTGCTCCATCGCTCGCTCGCTCCTGCTCCTCCTCGTGGCCTGGCCTTCGGAGGCCCGGCCCCCCTCGTGGTCGCGGAGGGGCGCAGCTCGACGAGAGGCTGTCCAGCCTGGGCCCCCCTGGAGATCCGGGACCGGGGCCTCGGGCGGCCCGTGCTCCGGAGGGGGGGGTGCGACGCGGGGGCGCCCTCCGAGGAGGCAAGGAGGGCGCCCTCCGAGAGGGGACCGCGGGTGCTGGCCGTCCTCCCTGTGGGGGCGACGACGCGGGCGAGCGGCCCGGGGGAGAGCCAGACGCGTGGGCGGGGGCGCCGATGATGGTCCATACCTTCGGCGAGGCTCGGGGGCGAGTGCGCGCATGACTCGGGGATCTGCTGACCCGGGGTCAAGTATGAAACTATGCACACACACACACACACACACACCGATCCTGGGCAGGCCCATCCTGGGCCCAGGATCGGTGCGTACGCCCTCCTGGCTTGGCCGGGGGGGCATGTACACCGATCCTGGGCCCAGGATGGGCCTGGCCAAGAGCGGTGTATGCGCATGGTTCTCGTCGCCCGATGAATGCAGACCCGGGTCAGCCAGGCGTTGCAGGATCCTGCAAAATCCTGCAAGATCCCCCAGGATCCTGCACCCAAGCCCGGGTCAATGCGACCCTGGCCCTGCAGGACCCTGCAAGCTCCAGCGCTCTGGCTGACCCCCGTTTGCATGGACCCCCGTCCCTTCAGCTCCGGAGTGCTCCCCCCTTGGGCCATTCGCCCCCCATCGTCGCACCCGACAACCGCCGCCCGCGAGAGCGCGCAGCGCGCGCGCGCGCGCGCGCTGGCGCGGCTGCCCGGCGACGGCGCGCGCCCTCCGCGCGCGCGAAGCTCCCTGCGCGCGTGCCGCCCGCGAGGCGCCACGAGAGCGCGGCGCTGCCCCCCGGGCGGCCCGCGCGTGCGCCCTGGGCCGCCGCCCGGGCGCAGCGCGCGCGGGAGGCAGGCGCCGTGGAGCAGGCGCGGGGCCTGCCCGCGGGGCCGCGGCGCCCTGCGGCAGCTCGCCGGGCTGCCTGGCCTGGCCGCGCTGCACCGCGCAGAGCCTTCGGAGGTCCCGCGCGGGACCCCCGCCCTGCTCGAGGGCGCAGGCGGCGGCCGTGCCCTGCTGTGATTTCGCCGTTCTCGGCGTGTTCGAGCGGGGCCGCGAGCGCGAAACCGACCGTGTGCAAAGAACCCGTGTGGCAATCGCCTGCCCGCCCCCGGCGCGCGGAGCGAGCCAAGGGGGGTGCCACAGGCGCATCCCAAGCGTGTCGGGAGGGGTTCTGGCGCCAACTCAAAAATCATCCGCGCGGACCTTCAACAATGTATTATCATCCCATTTCTGTTGGTGCTTCTCGAAAGGCTCCTTAGAAGTAGAGGCCTCCTAGTTGGGGTCAGAGTAGATGAAGCCGGGGGATCGCGCCGCGACGCATCGTCGATACAACGGCGATGCATCGTGGAGAAGGTCAGGCTCCTCCATACAGAGCCGCACTGCCGATGCATCGGCGATGCGACGCGATCCTTCGACCCCACCCACTCGGGCCCTGTCTGGGACGCCCGGAAGCAGGAGCCAGCAGGGCTCCGAAGCAATCCCCCCTGCCTCCTCGGGCCGCCCATCGCCCCCCGCCCCGCGACCGCACGCGCGCGGCAAACTCCGTCTGGTTCACGCAGCCGTCACCATCCGTGTCCATCCCGACGAAATGCTCCGCGAGCCCGTCCACGTGCGCTGCCTCCCCGGCCACGATGCAGCCTGCGCCGGCAGAGTGCGTCCGTGTCCGATGCCGCGAGGTGGTCTTCCGGGGCGCTCGGGGAGCGGCAGATGTGGATATTTGCCCGTGCACGCGGGCAGGCAGATATACATACCATCCACCACTCCTCGAGCTCTCAGGGCACGGCTCCGAGGCGGTGGAGGTGGACAGATTCTGGCGGCGGACAGCCGTCGACGTCCAGGTCGTAGCACGTGAACGCACCGCAGCGGCTCTCGCACGTGCACGGCACCCCGGGGTCCAGCGTGGGCTGCGGGGTCGGGAGGGCCCCAGGCGGCAAGCTCGCCAGGTATGTGATCGTCACCTGCGGGAGAACGCCAACCGTTCACCTGCGCCGATCCTGCCGGGGGCCCCTCTTGGTCCCATGCGGATCGGTATGCGTGAGTGGCCCCTGGCCAGGCGGGCACGAAGGCCGAGCCTGGGCTAGAGGTGGGCCTGGTCAAGATTGGTGCGTGTGTGTGTGTGTGTGTGTGTGTGTGTGTGTACAGCAGGGGCCCGACCACAAGAAGCCTTCCACAAGAAACCCACCCTGAGACCCCAGGACGTCCACTGATTCTTGATGTGGGAACCTCACGCGTTCCACAGCAAAACCATCGAACCCCCAGGAACCTGGGGCACCCTGGAGGCCACCAGGGTGTTTCTTGGTATGGGTCTCCACTGTACTGCTGACGCCCAAGGGACCGTCGCTTGCACCTCTTCGCCGCTGCACACGACGTCCCAGATGGAGCTTCCCAGGGGAGCGCCGCCAGACAGTGAAGACTGGTTGTGCCCGATGTACACGCAGGCCCCGTCGGAGTCCAGATCCATGGAAACTGACGTGTTCGGCTCGTCGTTGTCAATGATCCACCGATCCGCATTTTGACCCTCGCTCCCGTTGCACGAGGCATCCCAATAGAGGTAGACGCCCTCATAGTTTGTATAGGTCGGCGCTCCGGCCGTGGTATTCCCAGAAAGGACGAAATACGGGCTAACGATCCCAGGGTCCGAACACGGCCACTCCACCATCAAGTATTCCATCGGTGCACACGAATCCGTGGAGCAAATCTCGTTGGTCCCACAGAGGTCGGATCCGCAAAAGCATGGATACGTGGAGCTCGGGGAAGACCCGTTCGTGACATCGCAGGCACCGAGCACCCTGTTAAAATTGACGCTGACGGACCCAGTCGGGGTCGGATTGGCGCAAGTCGTGTTGGCGTCGTCTCCGTTTGTGTCATCGCAAAGCGCATCGTACAGAATGCACGTGCCAAACCAAACGGACTCCGCGGAATGGAGGCCGATGGACAAACAATGCTCGTACAAGGTGCACTCGTACGCGCACAAATCTAGAGTCTGGTGCTCCTGGGAGAACTCCTTGATTGCATTTCCGCACTGGCAGTTGCGGCCCGTCTGCTCGTAACCAGAATAGCTGGCCGCGAGCAGGTCCGCCTCGGGTATGTAATAAATGGTGGGTGACGGAGTTCCTGGCCTCCCCGATGCCTCGATCCGCTCTGTGGCCTCCCGTGCTGGGCAAGGCTCGGGGCACACATGGGAGAGCCTGGCTGTACCGTGGAGGTGCCGCTGGAAGTCCTCGAAGGTGGAGTTCCTTGTCAGGCCCGAGCGGGCGTACCAGGCAGGGTTCGCCACGATGCCCGCCCTCATCGCCCATACAACCTTCTGGTAACACTCGTCGCCCTCGATGGATGTGCGGCACTCCTCCGGTGCTGGCGCTGGTACCGGCAACCGAGCTTTCGACGCCTGCGCTGCACATGGCTCCTGGCACGCGTCGGAGAGCTGGGCTGTGTACCGCTGAAAGTCCTCGAAGCTGGAGTCCTTCGTCAAAGGGGCAAACCAATCAGGGTTCTCGGCGATACCAGTCTGCATCGCCCACGCCACCATCTTGTAGCACGTGTCACCTTCGACAGCTGTGTGGCATTCCTGTGGCGCTGGTAGCGCTTTCGCTGCACACGGCTCGGGGCAAATGTGGGAGAGCCGGGCCTCGCCGTGCAGGAACCGCTGGAAGTCCTCGAAGCTGGAGTCCATCGTCAGGTCAGGATACCAGCCTGGCCTCTCCACGACGCCCTTCTGCATCGCCCATATAACCTTATCGTAACACGCGTCGCCCTCGACGGATGTGTGGCACTCTTCTGGTGCTGGTGCTGGTACTGGTCGCCGAGCATCCGAAACCTGCGCTGCACAAGGCTCGGGGCAAATGTGGGAGAGCCGGGCCTCGCCGTGCAGGAACCGCTGGAAGTCCTCGAAGCTGGAGTCCTTCGTCAGGGAAGGATACCAGCCTGGCCTCTCCACGACGCCCTTCTGCATCGCCCATACAACTTTCTCGTAACACGCGTCGCCCTCGACGGCTGTGCGGCACCCCTGCGGCGCCACCGCTGCACAAGGCTCGGGGCACACGTGGGAGAGCCTGGCTGTACCGTGGAGGTGCCGCTGGAAGTCCTCGAAGGTGGAGTTCCTTGTCAGGCCCGAGCGGGCGTACCAGGCAGGGTTCGCAACGACGCCCGCCCTCATCGCCCATACAACCTTCTGGTAACACTCGTCGCCCTCGATGGATGTGCGGCACTCCTCTGGTGGCCGTAACTGCCGTGGCGACGGGACATCCAAAGCCCGAGCTGCACACGGCTCTGGACACGCGTCGGAGAGCTGAGCTGTGTACCTCTGGAAGTCCTCGAAGCTGGAGCTCTTCGTCAGGGGAAGAAACCAATCAGGGTTAGCTACGACACCTGGCGAAAACAAAAAAATACACCCACACCGCAAATCGTCAGACCCCTCCCAAGGTGGCCTACCAGGATCTCGCAGCGAGCTCGGCCGTGGCGACGCGGGCATGCCAGGAGGCCGCCATAGCTGAAGACGAGGGACGGGCATCGGCATGCTTCCTGCCCCGGGCCGCCCGTCTCCATCGCCCACAGCACCATGGTGTGGCAGACGTCGCCCTCGACGGCGGTGTGGCAGTCCGCGCGAAGCCGCGCCGCGGAGGCACCGCGCGCCGCGCTGCGCGCGGAGATCTGCAGGAGCTGCGAGTCGGAGCCCGCCGCGCAGGCGAACGCCGGCGCCGCCGCGAGCAGGAGGGTGCGCGACAGGGAGCGGGTGCTGTACATCTTGGACAAAATCTCGCTAGCCGAGTCGCGCCCCGATCAGCAACGGGGCAGGCACGGCCGCTGCGGCGAGCTCGTCGCAGGCAGGCGGGCCTGCCTGCCCGAAGCTAGAGAATGGTAGGGATTGTGTGTGTTAGAATGTATGTCGTGTTCGCTATCGAAGTCCCGGCAAGACTTCGAGCCTGACTGACTGCAGACCTTGTTTCTCCTCCTCCCGCTTCTCTCTCTCTCTCTCTCTCTCTCTCTCTCCGTCCCGCCTCTCCCTCCACAGATGGAGAAACCTGGAGAGCGCCCACGAGGCTCCCGCTCCCGCAAACGAGACGGAAGACCATCCTTCAAGGCCCTGGCCCCGCGGAACCGCAGTCCGCCCGTGGGGCCTCCAGCCAACATCCTCCACCTCCTCCGTACGTCTCTGCACTTTCCTGCTGGATGACCGCCGCCTGTTGCACATGCCAATCAGGTCGGACAGGAATCGAGCAAGCAGCGTGGGCCCAAACCGTATGATTCAAGCGGGCTCGATATATCCATTTGGTCAGCCCCCCCCCCAGCACCCCGTGTGCACCCATCGCTCTCTTTCCGTTGCTCCTCCTCCTCCTCCTCCTCCTCCTCCTCCTCCTCCTCCTCCTCCTCCTCCTCATCCTACTCCTTTCCTCCTCCAAATATGAAAACGAAGAGGAAGAGGATGAGGAGGAGGAGGAGGAGGACCAGGAGGTTGAGGATTAGGATGAGGAGGAAGCCATGCTATTCACAGGTTTTTTGTTTTTTTGGTCAGGGAAGCCACGAAACCTTGCTATTCACATGGTTTTTTTGGTTTTCAGAAGCTCCACAAACTAGGCCAGGAGGTCTTATGGACGGCTGAAAACCAAAAAAACATGTGAATAGCAGCGTTTGGTGGCCACGATCCCACCAAACGCTGCTATTCACAGGTTTTTTTTGTTTTTTCTGTCTAGGAAGCCACCAAACGCTGCTATTCACATGTTTTTTTGGTTTTTTGGTTTTCAGAGGCTCCGCAAGCCCCCGCGGTCCCCTTCTGGCCAAGCTTGTGGAGCTTCTGAAAACCCAAAAAAACAAAAAAACTGTGAATAGCAAGGTTTCGTGGCTTCCCTGACCAAAAAAACCAAAAAAACATGTGAATAGCATGGTTTGGTGGGCAGTGGTGCTTTGCAATAGAATTTCTTTGTGCGGCTTTCCAATAGAATCCCTTTGTGGCGCTTTCCAAAGGATTCCTTTTGTGAGGCTTTCCAATAGAATTCCCTTGTGATGCTTTCCGAAGGATTCCTTTTGTGAGGCTTTCCAATAGAATCCCTTTGTGATGCTTTCCAAAGGATTCCTTTTGTGAGGCTTTCCAATAGAATTCCTTCTCCTCCTCCTCCTCCTCCTCCTCTCCTCCTCCTCCTCCTCCTCCTCCTTCTCCTCCTCCTCTCACTCCTCCTCCGTCTGTTCTTCCTCTTCCTGCGCGCAAGCGCGCGCTGGCGAAGCGCGCGATAGCGCCCGCGCGCAGCTGAAGATGATGATGTTCAGCTCACTTCACTACGATCGCAAACAATATGCGGATCCGCGCACATTTCGCCTGGGCATTGCCATATCATTCGCCCGACATATCGCAACGCGGGTGGCATCTATATGAAGAGGGGCAATGTGAACACACCTCTGGTCTCAAGAACTAACTCGGCCCAAGCGAAATAGACAACAAGCGCAAACGCGCGCCGTACGCCTGGCCACTCTCACTCCGAACGCCAAGCCTGTCGCCACTAGATCACTCCGCCTGGCCACCTGGCTGCTCCTGCGCGCCGATCTCCAAGCGGGCTCGGCTGCGTCAGCGAGAGAGCTCACTGAGCGTGGTCCTTGGCCCACGCGTCGCGGAGCATCTGGCCAGTAGCGAGCCAGAGATCGCTGCCGCGGTTCCAGTACGTCCACTGGAAGGAGCGCACCTTGCATAGGCCAGAGAGCGAGCAGCAACTGCGCATGTCGCGCTGGGCCGCCTCTCCAAACCTCAGCGCATGCCACCCGCCAACCTTTCCCGCGCCGGGCAACACCTCCCACCCCCCTGGGCGGCGTTCAGCTGCACTGAAGATTGAGGAGACAGCGCCTACGCAAACAAACGCGTTGCACGTCGTTCATCTGGCCTGCCTTGTTGCGGAGAAGGACAGACCCCACCGTCTTCGCAATGCCCTTGCCGACCGCCTTGCGCAGGTCGCCCCACGCGCGGTCGATCACCTGGGTGCCGCACTTCACCCACAAGCGCCTCGTCCCGCTGGGCTTGCTCTGGTCAGGGACGTCGTGGTAGCGGATCTTCGTGAATGCCGGCTTCAGCCACACCCACTTCCCGCCAACCCGCACCCTTTTCTTCTTGTGCACGACCCAGTCGTGCAAGACGCCATCGACTTTCATCTTGTAGGACCTCGCCCCGTCCGTGTGGAGGATGACGCGGCGGTGCTTTAGCCACTTGGACGCCATGGGCGCCCAACCCCTCTTCCGAATCGGGCCAGGGCCAGGCGCCCTACGCTTGGCCTTCTCTGGCTTCAACCTGAAGAGGACCAAGGACCTGGGGTGCCCCCGCTGCACGATGCCGCCCCACTGCTCCCAGATGATGGGCTTCTGCGTGCGGGGGCCAGCGTTCGGGTCCTCGCCCTTCGCCACGTCGACCTCGTCCGCCTCCACGTCCGCCCACTCGAGCGCGTTGCCGTCCTGGTCATGGCCAAAGGAGATGTTCCTCTCGTGGGAGTTGACGTACTTGGCGCGGGCTGCATACAGCGCAGAGTAAATGCCCTCTGTCATCTTGTGGTTGTTCTTCAACAAGAGGCGGGCGGACGTCTGCGAGCACTGGGCCACGGCGCAGAACAGCGCGGCGGCCTGGTCCGCCAAGCGCCCCCCCGACGACCCCGTGCCGCATTTGAAGATAGGGTGGAAGGCGCGCGGCATGAGGAAGCGTCGGCAGCAGTCGCTCGAGCATTTGTGGGTCCACCCGCCCTTCTTCTTGCCATGGTCCTTCAAGGGGCCCAGCTTGCCGATCTGGCAGTAGGGGCACTTCGCGCCCTTCCACTCAGGCAAGACCTTGTCCTTCTTCAAGCGGTCGATCACCTGCTTGGTCGTCGCGTTCACGAAGTCCTTCAAGCACCGAGCCCATGCTGCCCTGTCGAGGCGCGACCTGACCGAGGAAGACCCGTGGCGCGTGTATGGGACGTTCTTCGGTTTGCGCAGGAGTGAGCTCTTCTTCACCTTCTTCATGGGCACGGGCCGCATGGCCATGCGAGCCTTTCCGCGCTTGGCGACTGGCCATGGCTTACCCATGGGCGACGCGCGCGGGGTGGCGGCCGCCTGGCTGCCGACGGGGCTGGCGGGCGGGCTCGGTGGCTTTCTCACACTTGAGCCAAGAACGACAGGGTTCGAATCGACCGAGTGGTGGCAGTGGAAGACGGCAGGTTGAAGACTACACGTGCGATCGCCCACAGAACCCGCTGAGGATGATGCTGTTTCGCACAGTTCACAACCGTCGTAAACAATATGCGTATCCGCGCACATTTCGCATGGGCATTCCTATGTCACTCGCCCAACATATCGCAACGCGGAAGGCATCTACATCTGGAAAGCGAACAAGCATATACATCAATGCATTCATATCAGCTCGCTCCAGCCGTCATAAACAACATGCGTCGCCGCGCACCTTTCGCCTGTGCGTTCCCGCGTCACTTGCCAGGCCAGCTACCGCTGGATCAGTCCGTCTGGTCACCCGGAAGCTGGCTCGCGCCGCCAACGCGCTCCGCCTCGATGTCATCGAGGAGCGTCTCCATTTCGGCATCCAAGTCGACGCCATCGTCGTCCACCACGAGGGTCTCGCCGTGTGCCTGCGCCACAATGGGTGCGAAAATCGCCTGCTGCTCCTGGATGTCCACGGGGGAGAGCGGCCCGCCGCAGGCCAGACCCGTCTTCCTGGTCTTCCGCGGCGGAGTTGCCAGGTTCTCGTGCGCGCCGTGGTGGGCCTTGGCTAGGCTGCGAAAGATCGCCACCTGCTCCCGATGGTCCTCATCCGAGAGCGCACCGTGGCAGCCGACGATCGGGGGCTGCTTGGCGGGCGCGGGGTCCGCGGGCGCAGCCGCGCCACTCGGCGCCCCCCCGTCGCCGCTCGATCCAGGAGCAGCACCCGCCTGCCACGGCACCATCATGAGCGTGTCGGCCTCGGCGTTGATGATCTCCTTCACGCGGACGTCCCGCGCGGCCGTCAGCTGTCTGGGGGGCGTCGGCTCGGGCTCCCCCATGCCGCCGCCGAAGCCGAACACGTCCTCCTCGTCCGCGGAGACGGCCCGCGCGTCGGCGCCGCCGCCGCCGCGGTCGGACATCCCGCCGTCGTTGGGCGCGGTCTCCACGCCGCCCGCCACGCCTGCCTCCCGCGGCGCCGCGGCACCGGCTGGGGCGCTGCTCGCGGCGGCGGCGCCATCGGCGCCGTCCCCGCCACCGTCGCCCGCGCCCGCTGCTGCGCGCGACTCGGCCATGAGCTGGAGCACCTCCTTCTTCTCAAAGGCGAGGAGCCTGTCGTACTCCTCCTGGTCGCGGCGCTTCTTGCGCCTGAGGAACCGCATCAAGATCTTGCCCGCCTCGGCCGTGATGTAGCTGCTCATGAGGGGCAACTTCTCAACGACCGAGTCCTTGCCAGCGGGCCTGAAGAAGAACGAGTGCTGCGTGTTCAGGGCGACGTTGCACCGCTTGAGCATGGCCCCTAAGTTGCTCTCGGACATACCCTTAGGGAAGGCGGGCCGAATCATGTCCACCAAGATGGCAGTGGTCCGCTTTGCAGCATCGGGCGACGTCGCCGCGAGCCCCCACTCCTCGCCATTTGGTTCAGCGCTGGCATTGTATTCGTTGTCACCGCCAAACCTGGGCAAAGACGAAGCGCGGGGCCGACCGACGCGCAGGATTCGCTTCCCTGGGAAAAAGCCAACAAAATCTGACAGCCAAACTCGAGAAACCTGGCTGGCCCCGACGCTTCGACTTCGCCAGCCGCCTCGCTTGGCCGCGCACGAACTTCGCGGCCCCCCAGCGCACGTAGGTCATGGCCTCAGCCTGCGTGGGGTCAAAGAAGGCCTTGGGGACGCGAGGCCGCTGATCTGCGAGGTCGCCGTCGTCGAAGATGCAGGGCGCCCAGGGCTCCCCGACCTCCCCGCGGAAGAAGTCCATCTCTGCGGATACCCGAACAGCAGCCTTGGCACGACCTGGGTGGCGTTCATTAGCGACGTCTGCATTGTGCCTCGCAGTCGCCATGGCACAGATGTACATGAAGGGTGTCTTCCCGAAGCCAGCCTCCCCGATCGTAAGCAGCGTGTTCCCCATCAGCGTCTTCAAGATCCCGTTCGTCATCGGCTGGTACTCCTTGCGGATGTCTGGCTTCAGGAGCGGGTAGTAGTCCTCCTTGGTCGCGAAATGGTCGCGGTCCGCGATGCACTTCATCAAGCTGTTCACGAACTCCCGCTTCATGTTGTAGATGGGGGAGTCAGGGTCCACGTACTGGTGCTCCAACCACAGGACCCTCTGGCCGTCGAAATTTCCGCGGGGGGCCTCCGCCTGCACGAAATCCCACGCTCTGTCGAGGGCGGCCTTCTTCTCCGCGACCTCGCCAGCGTCGTTGTCCGCTCCCTTCTTAGCCTTCGGCAGCCCCCAATAGCGGAACAACAACCCACCCATCGCCTCCAATACCACCTGCATCGTCCGCACAGTGTTGAAGGTGTCGGGGCGGTAGTCCAAGACGCACGGGTCGCCCTTCACGACACCTGTCGGTTTTAGTCTTCACGGCCTTCGCCGATGCAGCTGGCATGGCGTGCTGTGGCGGCAGCGCTGGGGAGAGAAGTAGCAAACAAAAAACAACCACTCGATTCATAACAAACTACGGATGGTTGCACCCAGTTAGGCTGAGGCGGAGGAGGGAGAGGAATATGAGGATGAGGAGGCGGACAAGGAAACTGAGGAGGGAGGAGGGTGAGGGGTAGGAAGAGGATGAGAAAGAAGAGGATGAAGAGGAGTAGGAAGAGGAGGACGAGCAGGATGATGAGGATGATGAGGGTGAGAATGAAGAGGGTAAATAAGAAGATGAGGATGAGGAGGATGAGGAAGAGGAGGAGGAGGATGAAGAATATGATGCGGCTGATGAGGAAGATGAGGAATATGAGGGCGCGGAGGAAGAAGAGGATGATGAGGATAATAATGATGATGAGGACGATGACAATGATGATGACGATGAGGAAGAATAGGATGATGATGATCAGGAGGCGGACAAGTAAAAGGAGGAGGGCGGATGATGAGGGGTAGGAGTAAGAGAAGGAAGATGATGATGATGATGATGATGATGATGATGATGATGTGCAGGACCAGGAAAAAGAGAGTGAGAAGGATGGGTTGGAGGAGCAGGAGGAGGAGGAGGAGGAGGAGGAGGAGCAATGAGCAATGAGCAATGCGCGGAGAGTCCAAATACGTTACTCAAGCCTCACACCATAGAAGTGGCAGCGCACTCTGCGCGACCCAATTTCGAGGGCAGCGGACTCTGCGCGACCCCCCTGGCAGGACCAGCACTGCTCCCGAACGACGGCGAATCTCGAGCACCGCGCAGGCGCGTAAGAGGATGCGGGAGGAGGACGAGGAGGAGGATCATCGGAATTATCGCGGGACGGGGTGCTGGGGGGGGGGCTGAGCATCCATTTATATGTGTACATATATATGTATATACATATGCACGTATATGTATATATGTGTATGTGTGTACACGTTGCGCAATATATGCGGTGCAATCTACGTGGTGCAATATATGTCGTGCATTGTGTGCTGTGCAATACAAGTTGTGCTGTATACGCTCCGCAGTCTAGGTTGTGCAATATACGTGGCGCCATATATGAGGTGCAACACACGTTGTACACATTATATTGTGCAATATGGGTGGAGCAATCTACGCGGTCCCAATCTAGGTGGTGGCAACAAAAGTGTGCAATCTAGATTGTGCAAGCTTTTGGTGTTTTCTACGCGGTGCGATCTACGTGGTGCAACTCAATTTGAACAACTTGGAACTGCCAACTCCACAACTTCCGCAACCATCCCACCCAACCGCAAATTGTTTTGCAAAGCCTATGCGGCGGCGGCGGTTGCGATGAGTGCTTGGTGTTGGCTGGAGCATCTCTGCGGCCGTGCTAGCCAGCGCACGCTCGCGCGAACAGCAACAAACTATTTTGGCGCGACCGGCGCGGCCGTTGTGTCGCTAACCGCTGGGCAGTGCCCAGCGGGCCCTTCAGTGCCAGTCAGTTACTTGGGCGGGCGCGGTATCATGGCGACGTCGACAAGCGTAGGCGTGATCATAGTCGTAACGATGATAGTGACGATGATGACGATGACAGCGGCACGGCCAATGAAGAGACGAATCTGATCACCCCGATGACGATGACAGGATCTTCGTCGGGGATGAAGTTTTTGGCCGGGGCTCGACATACACGCGGCCGACGCGCGCGAGTGGCTCGCATGGTCTTCTTTGACAGGGACCGTGCCCCCTCCCAGCACACGCGCAAGGGCGTTCAAATGATTTCGATATGCGGCGTGAGAGGCCCGCTTGGTCGAATTTGATGCACACGTTGAGAAACCGATGGCGCAATTGCATTTATTGCTGAATCGACAGAAAGGAATTCGCAAGAGCGCGCGCGCAGATTATTTCTGAAAAGTGCTGTTGCAAAACTCTGCTGTTTTATCACATGTTTTCGGGGCGATCGATTTCGATGTCCGTACGACACGATCGGCATTTGAGCAATTTCAGCATGCGCATGGGACGACGCGCGCGTGCACTTCGTCCCGTCTGTTGCAAAGGATTCTTGCGACAACACACTCGCAAAGGCGTTCGGAACATTCCGACATGCGCGCGCGCGAGATGCACGCTTGGCAACATGTGAAAAAACACGTTTAAAACATTGATCGTCCTGGAACGCCGGCGTTTTCGAACATTCCTATTGCGAGACATTGTTTCACACGTTTTCGAAACACTCGGTCTCGAAGTCCGTACGGCACCTCCGTTTCTTGACGGACTTCGGCATGCAAGCGCGAGGACGCGCGCGTACGCACTCCGTCGAGTTTGTTGCACGGGATGTTTGAAAACTGGTGACGTTGATAAACGAGCTCGCGCGCCTAATTATATTTGCGAAAAATGAAGTGGGGTCGATAAGCGTCTGCCTTGGATGAACTCGAAGGATGGGCGATGGGCCAGAATCTTATGAAAATTGCGATACAAAAAAGGAGCGAGCGGTTAAGTCCGGGCGGGGTAGATCTGAATCTTCTCTGTGAGCGGAGAATCCATGCGACGCAGTTGCTTAATTGTGACAAGCTTGAAGCTGTCAACTCCGCTGCTCGCGCAATCATGCCACCCACCCACCCGCAACTTGCTTTGCACAACGCATGCGTGCGGCGGCGGTTGCGATGAGTGCTTGGTGTTGGCTGGTGCATCTCTGCGGCCGCGGTAGCCGGCGAATGCTCGCGCGCACAGCGGCCAACTACTTTGGCGTGACCGGTGAAGCCACGGTGGCACTGACCGCTGGGTATATGCCAGCGGGCACTTCAGTGCGAGCCAGTGACTTGGGCGGGCGCGGTATCATGGCGACGTCAGAACCGTTAGACACGATAATGATATTAGCGATGGTGGTGACGATGATGACGATGACGGCGGCAAAGCCAATGAAGAGACGATGCTGATCACCCCGATGACGATGACGGATTGTTCGTCGGTGACGAAGGTTCTGGCTGGAGTTCGACATGCACGCGGCCGACGCGCGCGAATGGCCCGCATGGTGTTCGATGACCGGGATCGTGCCCCCCCCCAGCACCGTTCGAATGATTTCGACATGCGGCGCGAGAGGCCCACTTGGTCAGATCTGATGCACATGCTGAAACACACATGGTTATCTTAAGAATCCGCATGATCAAACGCGTTTTTTGTTTGAAAACTGATGTTGGGAAACCAGGTGGATTGGTTTAGTCTAGTGTCGGGGCAGCCGAGTCTCAGTTCCTTACGGCAATCACTGTTTTTGAGCGATTTCCGCATGCGCGCGGCACGACGCGTGCGCGTGCAAGTCGTCGGGCTTTCTGCAAGGGATTATGCACGCGCGCAGAAGGCGTTAAAATGATCCCGACATGCACGCGCGCGAGGCACGTTTGGCAACATTTAATGAAGACGCAGCAGGAGAAAAAAGCGATGGTTACATTACGAACTCACCAGAGCGCGAGGGCCAGCTCTTGTGAACATTCCGACTGCGAAAGCATTGGTTGTTATATGTTTCGGGGGCACTCGATTGTGACAATCTTGCGCAATCCATGGTTTTCGAAAGAATTCGGAATGCGCGCGTGAAGACGCGTGCATGTGCAATTCGTCATATTTTGTGAAACCAGTGCGCGCGCAAACCATTTTCGGCGTAGAACGAATGGGAAGCCGATACGCCTTAGCCTGGGATGGTATGAATTCAAATTTAGGATGGACGATGGGCCAAAATCGTACGTCAACGGAAACACAAAAAAGGCGAGCGGTTAACATCGGGGGGGGTAGGTGCTGACACTCTCTTAGCATGGAAAATATGGGGCCCCCTAACAGTGATTGCACTGAGGAGCTCTTGTTTGTCATCCAGGAACTGGGCCTCAAACTTGGCCTGGAGGTTATGTACTCGCCGTCGCCGCCTCGTCGCCACCCGACCTCTGGGCCAAACACTTGGTCTGGCGACTGTGTACTCGCCGTCGCCAGTTGCAACCCTACATAGAATGCATCGCATATTTTACACAAGCCAGATTGCACGACATGTTTTGCGCAACGTGCGTTGCGACGCATCGGCTGCTTCAAATCGGATGCACCACAGAGATAGCACCACATATGAGTACACAACAAAGATGACACTCCATATATTGCACAACAAAAATAGAACCACATAGACTGGTCAACATATATTGCACGACGTAGATCTTACCTCAGAGATCGCACCGCTTTCACTGCACAGCAAAGGTTGCACACCATATATTGTACAACATAGATTGCACCACACAGTTTGCACAACATGCGTTGATAGAAACACTCTGTTTGGGGTCCAGGCTGCCGAACATGTGTGGAGCAGCTTACGTGATGCAACAGATGTCATGCAACCTAGGTTGTGCAATCGATTTGATGCAATATTATGTGGTGCATTCTATGTGGTGTAGTCCCTGTTGCGGCGACGAGGTGGCGACGGGGCGGCGACGGCGGCAGCAAGGCGGCGGATCCGACAAACGAGCCCAGACGATGGGCGGCGACGAGGCGGCGAGGGTGCCCCTAAATGCAAGTAATGATTGGGGGAAAATACAAATAAAACAGACTGAACCGGTTCTCTGAAAGCAGCAAGTATCCAGAACAATCCGATAAGCATCATGTATGCCTCGTCGATACAAGCATCATAGCTGGCACGCTTCAACTGGCAATAGCGAGCCTTGAACAGCTGTTACCACTTTTCGCTTCACTTAATCTTCAACTGCAACTGACGTAATTTGCAATGTGAGCCGAGCATAGTTTGCGCCGTGTTTGACAGCTTCCATCGGTTCTGCCAAAAGAAAGAACTGCACACATACAGGCGAGAGTACAAACGAATTGGCAGCGGTGATCAGTTGCCGAACCCCTGGGATGTCTACATCAAGACCACCTACGGAATGAAACCCAACAGACGCCCACT